ATCTGTAGTCATAAAACGTCCAACTGAATACCAAAACACCACTTCCCTCCTCATACTGTTTCTCACTAGCAGTAAAAATCCTTTACATTCACATTACTTTGCAGCAGAAAGGTTCATTCCTTGCTCACATCACTGGTCAGCACTTTCTGTCATTTACAGATGACACTTGTCGAGACAGAACAGCACAAAACCTCATACAGAAATGAGCAGAGACAGCAAAGACTATGGCCATGTATTGGGAAATTCCCTTGATAACCAGAGAGCTCTCTTCTAAGGGGAGATCAAAGTACCTACAAAAAAAAACAGTTTAAAGGAAGCAAGTGCTCCATCTTTGGTACTTCATTTCTAATACCATGCAGTTTTGACCCTGAATGCAGAGTCAAAACTGAACAAGGTACCACACTGAGGAACAGCTTTCCCTTACGCAGCCAGTTAACACTCTGGCCTCACCAAACACAGTGGTGATGACTGACTTGCAAGGTGCACCTCAGGAGGTACCAGTGCACTTCCTTGGAATCCAGGTCTGCTGAGTGCAGGTGTTAGATCTCTCTCTCCTGAGAAGTGTTTTCTGCTCCTTCCAGAGAGGATCCCTGGCGAGTGGCAAAGATGGTGAAATCTTACCTCCAGCAGCACAACATCCCTCAGCGTGAGGTGGTGGACACTACTGGTCTGAACCAATCTCACCTCTCACAACACCTCAACAAGGGCACTCCCATGAAGACCCAAAAAAGGGCAGCCCTCTACACCTGGTATGTCCGCAAGCAGCGAGAGGTGGCCCAGCGTAAGTATGGCAACAACTCTTCGCCTGTCTCAATTTCAAAGGCCTCTGCTCTCCCTTGCTAATCCTTAATCCCTGTTTTTATCAAGGAAAAATGGAAGGAAAAGCCACTTTTAGCAGGAAGCTTAGAGAAGTCTAGGTCAGTATTCAGTGGTGAGGTGAACCAAACAGTACACAGAAAGCAGTCTGCAGTCACCCACCCCACCCTCTGGCTAAAGAGGAGCAAATTAATACTCTTCATTTGCAATTAGAGTTCTACACCTATCCTCAGACTAAAGCAGTGTAGTGGACAGATAACAGAGACAGAATTTCTGCCTGAGAACTATGCTTTTGCAATTTCAGCTAAAGCAACAGTTCCTCTACCTGCAAAAAAAACAGCAGGCTACTGTACTCACTGTGAAAAGCCACTGTGGGCTCTCATCTTGCACCCTCTAAGCCCGTTCATTACAGGCACTCACTGTGAACTCATCCCTGCAGCATGCACTTGTACATATATAAGCCTGTCTGGAACCTGTCTTAATTTTGTTTTGGTGGGGTGCAAGTAAAAAGACATTTGGCCTTTGGATGGTTTTGGAAAGCAGGACTCCAGTCATGCTTACTCTACACTCAGCTGCATTTGCATTCACTACTCCAAGGTGGGAGCAGAAATGCAACGCATGTAAGAGAAAGGACAGCTAAATATGGTCCTGCTAGGAACATCTGATCAGTTTAGCAGATTAGGGAACTTTATTTCCACTGCATTTAGATTCAGCTCTCCTTGTATGAGATATTCCCCAAGGGTAAGCTGCACTGGGCCTGCTAGGCACCCAAACAGACAGAACTATTAGAAATGCTTCCAGAAAGCAAATTCCCTTGCCCCTTTGTGCCTGCAGAATTCACACACGCTGGCCAGGGTATCCTGACAGAGGAGCCCATGGGAGATGACCCACCCACCAAGAAGGGAAGAAGAAACCGCTTTAAGTGGGGTCCTGCCTCACAACAGATCCTGTTCCAAGCCTATGAGAGACAGAAAAACCCCAGCAAAGAAGAGAGAGAGGCACTGGTGGAAGAGTGCAACAGGTAAGGATGGGTGTCTGGCTTTGAGGAAGAGGGGCACAGCAGGGCCTCTCTGTGTTCTCAGTGTTTGCTATTGCCTACGAGAGACAAGCTAATGGCACAGCAGTGGATGTCACCACTGACAGCAGCCCTGTCTGAATGAAATGCCCTAATTGAGCACTCACTGTCCACAGATGATCAGTGATGCCTCATATCTTGCTGTACCTGGCAGGATCCTTCCACACAGTGTGCCAGACCACAGCCACTTCAGGGCTGCACACTTACTCTGTCGCTCTGGCTAATCCCGGCTCAGCAAGGCTCTTCCTGTGCTTTCCCCCAACAGAGCAGAGTGTATTCAGAGAGGTGTTTCCCCATCTCAGGCCCAGGGACTGGGCTCGAACCTGGTGACAGAGGTCAGAGTTTACAACTGGTTTGCCAATCGCAGGAAGGAGGAGGCTTTCCGGCACAAGCTGGCCATGGACACCTTCAGCGGACCACAGCCCACCTCTGCTCCTCCTCTAACTCCTCACAACTCTTCCTCCCTCCAGCCACCATCTGCTCTCTCACCCAGCAAAGTTCACGGTAAGAAACAACTAGAGAGAGATCTGAAAGAGACAACAGTGAACCTACCCAAAGTCAGTCACCAAAACTGTCTCCCAAGTCCAGCTGTTTAGGAGGTGAATCTATAGACAGCAAAAGCAGACTTGCTACAAGGGAAGAGCACCGATGACAAAGAGACCATGTCTCCAAGTGAGGAGAGTGGCTAGAATAGCAAAGGTGACAAAGCTCAGTCACAAAACTTTCAGCCAAATCTCCTCACATACTCTTTGACACCCTGCACTCCCTCATGGCTGGCAGGCAGTAATCCCCTTTCAAGGAGTCATCCACTGGGGCCATCACAAGTCAGTTCCGTACCCTTTCACTCACGTGTGTGCCTCCTACTCTTTCCAATACGTATCTGCACCCTCAGACTCTGTGACTGAGTTTTCAGGCATCAGGAAAGTTCATTCTCCATCCAAAAAGAGCAGAGCTCTTTCAGCTTCATAGGCCAGAGCTGGCAATTGCTCTCACTCTGGGAAGAGAGGATCTCACTGAGACTCTCTCCTCTCTAGTTTCTAGTGAGCCTTGCTTGCTCCCTGCAGCGCGCACAGACATACCTTAAAGTCAGTATTTGAGGAAGCAGTTGCACCAAGTCACAGAGGAAAGCCAGGGCAGGGTGGCAAGAAAGCCTGTTCTACAGGTTCCCCTACTACCCACCTGGTCTCTGCCTCAAACATCTAAAGGCAAGCGTCTGCAAAGGAAACTGAACTTAGCACTTGCCAAAGTTTCTCATTTTTGACAATCAGTTTCCCTCCTGTTGTGATGCAGGAGTGAGGTACAACCAGCAGCCAGCCAGCGAGGCAGAGTCCTCCAGTAGCAACCACCATGGGAACAGCTCCATGGTGACCACCCAAACCATCCTGCATCAAGTTTCTCCCCCTGGACTGGAGCCCAGCCAGAACCTACTGAGCACAGACACTAAGCTGGTAAGTGATGTACACTTAAGTTCTGGTGACTGGAATATGTCAGGTCCTCTGCCTATGGTCACAATATGGGCTATTCAGCAGTAGTTTTTCCTAGAATACTCTTAAAATCACCTTCTTACAGAGATAATATGTAGCTACTTTGTGCTGACCATGGAACATCAGCAGTTCCCAGATGCATGTGCCTTCTAGACTGCTGGCCAGGGCAGGGAGTAGAGCATGGAAGCAAGTATAGTCATTTCCTTGCGATCAATCAAAACAGTCTGTTCTGAAAAAGCAGAGCTCAAGGTATGACATGATTTCCTTCTTCTCAGGAAACCCTGTTCTCTCCTCCTTTCCCCAAAGAGATTATCATCTCATCTCTAACTCTCATTTGAACTCCACACATCTCAAGATAGTTGATCAGACACCAGTGGGATTAACAGAACAGGGACCTGTACTTACATCTATCTTACCTGTAAAAATTAAGCCCAACATCCTGTATACAGCACATACCATTGAGACATTTACTGGACATGTAGATTGTAGCAATCTGCCTTCTCAAAGCAAATTTCCTTTTGAGATTTGACTACACCTTTTCTCACATAATTAGCCATGAAGCACTACATGACTGATCATCTTCAGTTTGCACATGTTCCCTTGCTTACAGGGAAGCAGTTGGCAGAAGTTTGCATTACTGCATTCTGACCTGAGGCAAAGTGAAGTTACTGTAAATGAGTATGATTTAAATCTTGTCAGTCACTCACTTTGAGGGCTTTCTGGTCTCTTCCTCAAGAAAAAAAAAAAGTCTTTCATGAAGTGTTGAAAATCTTCTAGAGCTGTCTTCTAAAATTGGTATCAAGGTGATGTGTCCCACTGTTTAACCTGTTGGTGCTTCCTCTTACTAAAGATTCCTTACAGCTTTTTGTCTGAGGGAAGGAAAAAAAAGTATAATATTAAGCACTGAACTTTCTCTATCAGCCAAATTATTAGAATGCTATTTTGCTGTTCCACAGTGCTTCAACTACAGGTCTCCAAAGGGCCTTGCAAACTCAGAACCCCATTAGAGCCTAGACACAGGTTATGTGGTTCATTTTAGAGGCTGAGAAAACAGTCAAGTTATTAAATTATTCAATGGCCCAAGGACAGGCTGAATCAGCGAGACACCCAAACACAGAACAGTCCTGTTCTATTAACAGGTACACTTCCTCTCTAACAGCACAGAACTGCCAGGTAATGTGGCCTGAAGAACACACTGTATGGGGAAAAGGTCTAAGGAAGCTTTTTCAGCAGCTCCTTTAATATTTCAATCCGAAAACTCACTGGCCACTAAAATAAACTTGCTGGAAGAAAGGGAAAGTACACACATTTCTCAGAGGAAAAGGTGAACAAGAAAAGAGGAACTCCTGTGCTGAACTCTGCAGCTAAAATTACTACATAAAATTACTTGAATCTCTTATTTTCTCTGAGCATCATCTTCTACTCTCAGCTATAAAACAGAAGATAAACCTTCCCTGTAGAGAATGCAGTGGGACTAATCTCATTCTTGTTTGTAAAATCCTTATGATTTCTTAAACATGAAACATCTAAACCAGCAAGGATTTACTCTTAGTATTTCAACAGCTGATCTTTGCTAGTTAGCGACGAGCACAGGGAAACTGCAGACAAGCAAATGTGAAGTCTCTGTAGTTAGCAAGTGATCAGAGCAGGCAGGAAGAGGGAGAAGGATGTTTATCACAGCTTTGGGACCTTCTGCAGATGGCATTTTCACAGTACTCCTTTCACACAGGTCTCAGCTCCTGGAGGAACTCTCCCTCCCGTCAGCACCCTGACTGCCTTGCATGGCCTAGAGCAAAATCCGCATGCCCTGAGCCAGCAAACTCAGAACCTTATCATGGCATCACTGCCGGGTGTCATGGCAATTGGAGCTGGTGAGACCTCATCCCTAGCACCAGCATTCACCAACACAGGTGCCTCCACCCTGGTGATAGGTGAGTAGTGCTCTGCAATGACTCTGCTTATCAGGATTCAGATAAAGAGCTACCTGTAATTGTTAGCCTCATGTTCAGAGACAAAAATACTAAGTTGGTAGTGATATGGACCTGGGGAAATTGTCACAAACACTAAGGATCTTCAGCAGCACTACTTAGAAGTACCAATGGAATTAAGGGACAGACATTCCTTATTCATGTCAGAATTAAGTTACACACAAACCCATGTCTTAAGAGCAAGAGACTTTTACAACCTATTCCTATGCCAATGTTTTGGTTTGCTGCTCTGCATCTCCCCAAATAAAAATGTAATACTTCCTTGAAACTATGAAAACTGATGCATGTTCATAGTGCTTGAAAGACAAAACATCCTGTTCTACTTCCTGCGAAGAGCAGCACGTGCCTTTGGAACCCACAGCAGTAATTACTGGGGGTTTTTCTGTTTTTCTCTGTGACAGCTTTTCTGGACTCGTATGAGATTACTTTTCATTCCAGGACTAGTCTACTGCCAAAGTACATCTCATTAGATAAGGCAAAATTAAATGTATACTCTCCTCTTACACTTTCTTCCCAGGAAGAAAGAAGCCTCATTTTGTTCCATGGTTAGAGCTGTGAACTAATTTCCATTTCCTCATTTATACCCAAGATTATGATATGGATTCTAATTTTATACAAACAAAAATATGGGTGATTTCCACACAGTACAAATCTCAGTGCTAGAGGAGACTTGCTGATTTACAGGAACAGAGTCTGGAAAGTCATAGGAAATGGGTAGTAATGTGTGAAACCTTCTACTTCTTTCTCAGTGGTCCAAATCCCATAATTTGGCAGCCCAAGCAAAATAAGCTTAAACTCCATTTCAAGTGGCTGGACAGCTTCAGCACCGTTCTCTCTGTTGCCAACAAGTTCATAAAAAAGAAAAGAATTAACTGGACATGAGATGATGCTCTGAGTTTACTTCTGAGCAAGGCCTCCCCAGTGGAACTCTGTATCAGGTTATCACTAAACTGGAAAGTGACCTATACTGGTACACAAGGATGTACACAGGAACACTGAAAGTCAGAGGTGGCTTTACAGTACCTGTCCACATTGTACATTTTGCACACTCCCACTTCATTTTCAATCTGTTTATAATCACAGAAAACAAATGGAACACCTGAAAAGCAGGATCTGAATCACCCTGCAGTAACAGCCCTGCCACGATGACTATTTCAGACGCCCCTGTTGCAAAGCAGCCATGCTCCTCCCATAGTTTGTAACACTACTGTCATCAGCCCTTGTTTTTCAGGCCTGGCCTCAACCCAGCCCCAGAGCGTACCTGTAATAAACAGCATGGGGAGCAGCCTCACCACCCTGCAGCCCGTCCAGTTCTCCCAGCAACTGCACCCATCCTACCAGCAGCCCCTCATGCAGCAGGTCCAGAGCCACATCAACCAGAGCCCCTTCATGGCTACCATGGCCCAGATACAGAACCCTCACGGTAAGAAAAAAAACTCATGTGTTCAAGGAAACAACAAAACAAAGGCTCTTTTCTGGAGCATTTGCTGGGTCCTTGGCCTTGCAACACTCTATTTTCCTCTTCTAATATTGTTGCTTTAATTATGAAATTATTTTTCTCTTGCATTCATCTCCCTGTCCCTCCACTCCCACTGTTTCAGAGACAGAGAGCAGGTCCACGTGCATGAGGAGAACAACACAGCCAAACTAGTCTCATGCAAAGCTCCAGCATCCACATGATCTTGTTTTCTTTCATGCACAGCTCTCTACGGCCCCAAGTCTGAAGTGGCCCAATACACACATACAGGCCTCTTACCACAAACCATGGTGATAACAGATACAGCCAATCTCAGCGCCCTGACTAACCTGACACCAACTAAACAGGTAACAGCCTTTAGCACATGCCTTTGTTCCCCCACCTTAGAACTGCACCAGTCTGCAGAGGTAGCTCCTTGCTTGTCAAAAAGTTGTTGGTTGTGTGGTCTATGCCATCCCAGCAGGATGATCTATCTTAACTCCTCGCCTCGCTGGTACCAGCTGCAATACTGGAGGCATTAGAGCAAGCTCTTCACTGCATCATCAAGGAGGATTTAATCTCCTTGGAAACAGCCCCTGCTCACTCTTTTTTCAAGCCTATTAGAAGGGATGTAGAAACCAGGCACTGTTCACTTTCTTTCCTCTAGGCATTCACATCTGACTCAGAGACTCACACAGAGTCTGGGATGCACACGCCAGTGTCACAGGCACCGACAATACATTTACAGAACCAAGACACAACCATCCAGCACCTTCAGCCAGGCCCTCGCCTCACCTCAAGCCCCGCTGGTAAGAGCAGCAGCCACTATCATCTTAAACCACATATTGCTGTTTCACTTGCCAACAGTGTAAAACCCAGACAGAAAATGGTAACTGGGGTCACCATTCTCTAAGAGGGCTCCACTAGTGCCTTAGGGGGTCTGAAAAGCTGGTACAAAGATTGGATTCAGAGCACAGGCTGTGTAAGGCCAGACTGTGGAAATGGGACCCTTCTTCAGAATCTAGAGAGGAAAATAACCTTAAAAATATTGACAAAAATCAGTATCTTGGGCTGAAAAGTCCAAGATTCCCTCATGAAGACACTCCAGTCGTATCTTCCAAGTTCTAAGAGAAGAACTAGGACATTAACAATCAACTAGAATCCTCAAATCTGAACTCCCTGATGCCATCCATACTTTCAGGCTAGTTTTGCACTTGAGCTAGGTATGTAACAGCACACAAAACAGAAAAAGGAGTTATGCCCCTATGCCAGGAGGCTTTAGGCATGCTGGAAATGTGACTGTGTGTGCACATCATAAGGGGACTGCAGTGAGAATTTGTACTTAACTTCTGCCTGTGCCTTTGACAGTGTCCTCGAGCAGCCTGGTGCTGTACCAAAGCTCTGACTCCACCAACAGCCACAGTCAGCTGCTGTCATCCACTCACAACGTCATCGAGACCTTCATCTCCACACAGATGGCATCCTCCACTCAGTAATCAAGAGAGCTAGCTCCAGGGTGACTGCCACGGCCAACCATCAGGCGCAACTCCAACTGTGTCTGCCATCACTGTCACCACTGCCTTCCATGGGAAGGAAAGGCTGCTGCGCTCAGCCGACCTCCAGCCCCTGCTGCCTCATACAAATCCTTACCCAGCTGCCTCCATGAGAGAAGATGTCTCAGGCTCAAGACAGAAGCCATGGAAAGATGATGCTGGCACTGCTAAAATCCACTGCCCTGCACAAAACCAAGCAAACTCAAACCCCACAAACCAGCCTAGAACGACCAGACATCCTTTTGTGGCTGCCCAAGAAGAAACACCATCAAGACAGGGATCTGAATGCAACGTGGCAAAAATGTCAGGGTGTGGATGGGACTTTCATTCTGCTCAGCCCCCATCAAGCTGGGCCTGTACAAACCTGCCAACACCAGACTAAGCCATGCAGGAGAGAGCAAAGCTGAGCTGCCAAAGCAGGGACACCATCTTTAAAACACTCACCTCCTTTGCTGTAAAGAAGCACCAATGGGAAATAATAGTATCTTGGAGGCAAGAGTGGGAGAACCTGGTTCCTGACTGCAGTGAAAATCATCAAGAAACAGATTCAGGAATGGCTTGGCGCAGTCTTGTCAGTATGGGATCACTGACTAAAAGCTGCAAATCCTTTAATTAATACCAAACATTCTCAGTTTAAAAATGACCAGCTCTAAAATCATGCTATCCTAGTGGAAATGGCTTGGTTATTTTTGATATAGCTCTGCTTTGTTTTAAATGCAGAAATTAAAGTTTAACAGCAGCAAGGAGATTCCAGTTCTCTGCATTAATTGTGGGGATTCCCATCTCGTGCATCTTGCTGAATGAGCCAGAGGATGGCATTCTGCACAGGTCCCTGACACTGCACCACACCAGGAGGTTCCCATGCTCCACAAAGGGCAGTGGTCCCTTCAGTGGTTCTCTATAAAGATCTGAGCTTGGAGTCACTGGGCAGAACATGGCTCATTCTCAGCTCCCCTGTAGGCTAGATTCTGTAGTTCTTGATATGCAAATGATTACCCTGGGGTCTAAGAGTCTTACTTGCACTAAGTGAAGGTTTTTAGCCCTAAGGATCTACTTATATAATTCCTCTTTTAATTATTCCTCTCTATTTACTCTCAACCTTCACATCACTAATATGTCACTAGCCAGACATTAAAAAAGCCCTAATTAACATGTTTTTGTCATTGTGACTGAAAGAGAGCTATTCTTTCAACTATGAAATGGATGAAAATCCTTGAGACTAAAAAGTGCTCAAGGTTCTTAAAATGTTGAGATATAACAGAGAATTGAAAAAGAAAAAGCCCAACAGCAAACTCTTCAGTTATCATATCTGTAAACTTTAAAATTGCAGCTGTCCCTTACAGTTTGTATTGATCTGATCTTCCTCTAGATACTATCTAGATACCACCTATAGTATAGATACTATATCAGAGACTAATTTCAGCAACTAGATTTTCTGAGGAATTTTATCCTAGAATTGTTTCCTAATCTCCCATGCACATAATTTGCAAATAGATATAACTTCCAGTTAGAATAAAAATAATAATCATAAAACAAGTCAAAATATAATTTTTAGACCACTCTGTATTTGAAACCCCAGGTGCTAGCTTCAGTATACTGAAGTTAGATTACAAGGCAATTTTCTACTTAGCCCTTCTATTTTTGGATGCCAACTGTATTTTCTTGATTAAAAACTAGCAAGGATCTTATAGTAAGAAAGCAAATTTTGGGTTTTCCCAGGCTCAAAGAGCAACATTTCACTATTTCAGTTTCTCTAATCTGGCTTTCTGGTCTCCTGAATAGGGCAAATGAGTTAGAGCTACTGAAACACAACAATCTTAAAACCAGAAGAAGAGTATTTGTCAATAATTTGTCAGGTCATTTCCTGAAATAGGGGAGCTGAAGTATAAACAGACTAAGAGCCATAGAGAAAAGTACCAAACCCCACTGTATTTCAGAGAGACAAAAGTCACAAGCAACCAAAATAAGGACTGAAACACAGTGACTTTCAAGTTAGGCTGAAGTCCTTCCTGTAGCATTCTCACAGCATTGATCACCGAGCAACTCAAGAGCCATTTTCAGCAATCTTTATCTCTATTGGCAGAGCCATCTGAACACAGCAAGAAAGTCACTGTTGTACAAAACCTGCCCAATTAAGTAACACTAATAGTGTAGTAGAATTTCATAACAAAAAATGTCATAAAAAACTATACATAAAAAAAATTTCAAAGGACACAACTTGAACTACCTGTTAATAACAACCCTGGAATAAACCCACTGCACACTGTTTATATTCAGTGGCCCTGGAGAGGCGCAGATTACAGAGGGATTAGTAACATGGCAGCTTTCAACAACAGATTGTTATAATGATCACAGGACAAAAAAGAAAGGAGGCCCTGATATCTGACAGGATGCTTTTGATAAATGGGTCTCCCATAGGCTGGAGTTATTATTAGTAGGCATCAAGGAGGAGGCAAAGAGAAAAAGGAGTTGATCACCTGTTGCCATGTAAACCAAATTCAATTAATCATTTGCTTTCTCCAGGACAAAAGATTTGGTTTCATGATGTGAAGGAACAGACGAGGAGGGATGCAGCTATGATTATATCCCTCTGTCACGCAAGCCTGTGCGCAGTACTTAATCCTTTTACTCTAGGTCTGCATAAGCAGCAGCACAGATCACTGCTGTGCTAGGAGAACAATGTTCCCTGCCCCAAGGGACACCAACAACATAGGAAGTCACTTAATTAGACTCTCAGGTCACTGAGCTTTTAGAACAGAAGCTTTGCCAATTAATTTTCCCTCATCTGCAGCAACTCTTTTTGGGTATTTTTTTTGGTTTGGGTTTTTTTTTTTTTAGCATCCTTCATCCATCATAATCACCTGCTGTTTGCAGAGCAAAATCTTCATTCTCTTTTTTTCTTCTTCTTTTTCTTCTTCATAGCTCCTGGCAACACCGAGTTCTCTGTATGATTGCTGTCCTGTCTCTCACGCTGTCCATTTGCAGACAGCAATTGTGGCAAATCTTTGCTGATCTGGTCACACTCTGCTGGGTCTATTATTTTCTCTTGAATATTGTTCTCTCTCCTAATTTTCTTTTTCTTCTTCTGGCTATGCTCTACATAACCCTGACTCTGATCCTGGCTGGAATCCTGGGAGAGTGCAGGAAAAGCACTTTGGTTCAGAATGTCTGCAGCTGACACAGCAACTTGCTGGTACTTTTGCCACTCTTGGTCGCTGTCAGTGTCACTGGAAAGGTAACAAAAGGAAAGGAAATTATGTTACACTTTGCCTTGAATTCACCCAAAGCAGAAACAGCAGAGTAATCCAAGATGAGAAACACTCAGTGGCTCTGGGACTCCAGCAGAAGTTAGCATTTAATGAGTTTGAAGGCTGAGGTTTTCTTTACACATACTAGGTA